CTTGCTCTGTTGCCCATCCTAGTTTTGAACTCTACCTCTTCCTCCAGAGTAGCTGCAGTTAAAGGTGTGAACCATTATACCCTGCTCCAAATAGTTTACAACGGGTTGTGTCCTTGCCTCCTTCTTGTTCTGCAGAGACACCATTTCTGTCTTCCAAGGCTGCTCACTACACGAACATCCTTAATAGTCAGGCCTTAGCATCCTTAAGGCAGTCAGGCAGTGGGAGCAGTATGTGCACAAACTCAAGAGACTAATGGAGAACTGTCTCTTGACTTTACTCAGCTTTAAAAAGTGCTATATTATCATTACTTTAGTGTAAATGCCTATTGCTCAGGCATTACGAATAGTCTTGATTCCAGAAATTATAAAACCTCTAAGGTTTTGTAAAAACTGAAGGAAAGCCACACAGGGTGGCTCTCGCCTGTAATCCCAGCACTTTGGGAGACCGAACCGAGTGGAACCCTTGAGCCTAGGAGTTCAAGAACAGCCTAGGCAAGATAGTAAGACTTGCATCTTTTTTTTTCTTTTGAGACAGAGTTTCACTTTTGTTGCCCAGGCTGGAGTGCAATGGCACGATCTCAGCTCTCGGGTTCAAGCGATTCTCCTGCCTCAACCTCCTATATGCATGCACCACCATACGAAGCTAATTTTTTGCAGTTTTAGATGAGACGGGGTTTCTCCATGTTGGTCAGGCTGGTCTCGAACTCCTGACCTGGTGATACACCCACCTCAGCCTCCGAAAGTGCTGGGATTACAGGCATGAGCCACCACGCCTGGCCTTTTTTTTTTTTTTTTTTTGAGACGGAGTCCTGCTTTGTCACCCAGGCTGGAGTACACTGGTGCGATCTCGGCTCACTGCAACCTCTGCCCCAGGGTTCTAGCGATTCTCCTACCTCAGCCTCCTGAGCAGAGTAGTTGGGATTACAGGTGCCTGCCCCACGCCCCGCTAATTTTTTTGTATTTGCAGTAGAGTTGGCGTTTCGCCATTTTTGCCAGGCTGAACTTGAACTCTTGACCTCAGGTGATCCACCCTCCTAGGCCTCGAAAAGTGCTGGGATTACAGGTGTGAGCCACTGCCCCTGGCCTTGCCTCTATCTTAAAACAAAAAAAAAAAAAAAAAAAATTCTTTTCTAAAATGGAGGGAAGTAAAGCTTGTAAAATTAGCACAGAGCCTGGACCACATCAGGCATTCGATGAAGGGAAGCTGCTGTTATGATTGTTGTTTGAAATACTATACGGTTATGAAGACGAGTACTGTCTTTATCCGAACAAGTGGAAGAGCAGAAACTGTCGAGCCGGGATCCCTCCTTTTCTCCACCCCCACGCCTCCATTCCAACCCCGGCGCAGGGACTTAGGGGAAGAACAGAGAGAGAAAGGGGAAAAAAAAAAACAGGACACGAAGGAGGAGCTCTCGCGCCTAGCCCAGCCCCGCGCACCTCGCACCTCCCGCTCAGGTTCCGAGTCCTCATCGATCTCGCGCTCCCTTTTCACCCGCACAAATGGTATAACAGAAGACGAGGCCTCGCGCGCGCTCGCTGGCTCGACCTCCCGCTTCACGCGCACAGGGCTGCCCCGAGAGCTCGCCGCCTCGGGATCCCGCTCCCGATCTCGCTCCCGCTTGACGCGACCGGAGCTGCCCCGCGACTCGGACTCTCGCTTCCCGCGGGTGGAACCACGAGACTCCCGCTTAGACCGACCGGACATCGCCACTACCGGCCGAGTCACTCAGCGCAGGCGCCAGACACGCTTGAGCGCGCGGCACACAGCCAATCAGGAGCGGGGCTGGTATCGGGCACCGAGCTCTCTACGAGTCGCCACTAGGGACAAATCACTCTGCAGGAAATTTGTGGGCGGTGCTGCAGTGGCTTCCTCGCCGCTGGGTGCGCCCCTGAGAATCTTCTGTAGGCCTACCGCCCCTTTACCTGTCATTTACAGTTTACTTAGATAAGAACCTTTACCCGTGACAGTTTTCTGAATAAAAGAAGCTGTCGACTGGGCGCGGTGGCTCAAGCCTGTAATCCCAGCACTTTGGGAGGCCGAGGCAGGTGGATCATGAGGTCAAGAGATCGAGACCATCCTGGTCAACATGGTGAAACCCCGTCTCTACTAAAAATACAAAAAATTAGCTGAGCGTGGTGGCACGTGCCTGTAATCCCAGCTACTCAGGAGGCTGAGGCAGGAGAATTGCCTGAACCCAGGAGGCGGAGGTTGCGGTGAGCCGAGATCGCGCCATTGCACTCCAGCCTGGGTAACAAGAGCGAAACTCCCTCACAAAAAAAAAAAAAAAAAAAAAAAAAAAAAGAAGCTGTCATTTCAGCCCCAGATTTGTGGCTCGAAACCACCATCGCGAGGTCATTTCCCACAGTCTCCGCGACTTGGAGGCTGACAATCCCGCACGGGAAAACTAGGAGACATCCCCAAATCATCCCCTTCAAGGCTCTAGTCCTACATTCATTCATTCATTCATTCATTTGACAGAGTCTCGCTCTGTCGCCCAGGCTGGAGTGCAGTGGCACGATCTCCGCTCACTGCAATCTCCGCCTCCCGGGTTCAAGCAATTCTCTGCCTCAGCCTCCAGAGTAGCTGGGATTACAGGTGCCCACCACCACACCCGGCTAATTTTTGTATTTTTAGTAGAGATGAGGTTTTACCATCTTGGCAGCCTGGTCGTGAACTCCTGACCTTGCGATCCACCCGTCTTGTCCTCCCAAAGTGCTGGGATTACAGACACGAGTCACCACGTCCGGCCTTCATTCTACGTTTAGAGGGTTGTTGGTATCTTGAAAACGAAAACGCCGGATAGAAGCAGATTTACCATGAAGCTAATAAAACTCTAATGTCAAGACCTGCCTTGAACTTGTTTACTTGTTTGAACCGTTACACTGATATATAATTGACATACAACAAATGTATAAAGTGTGCAATTTAAGCCGGGCACGGTAGCTCCTGCCTGTAATCCCAGTACTTTGGGATCCCCTCAGGTCATGGTGGTGGGTGCCTGTAATCACAACTACTCAGGAGGCTGAGGCAGGAGACTCACTGGAGCCTGGGAGATGGACGTTGCAGTGAGCGGAGATTGCACCATTGCACTCCAGCCTGGGCAACAAGACTTGGGAGTGTCCTAATATCCCAATATCTGGAGAATAAAGGCATTCCTAATTTTGCTTTAAAGATAATAATATTACTTGTTGCAAAATATAGTAATTAAGAAAATTAATCCTTTATCACAAACCCTTGTAACAGAGCACATCTCCCTATGATCTTTTTATTCTATATATAAACAAGCATTGTAGCCAGGATGGACCTGTTCCTGAGCTACTCAGGAAGCTGAGGCAGGAGAATCAGCTTGAACCCGGCAGGCAGAGGTTGCAGTGAGCTGAGATCACGCTATTGCACTCCAACCTGGGCAACTAGAGCGAAACTCTGTCTCAAAAAAGAAAAAGAATCTACCCAGCCCCAAAGATATCTTCTTCCTCCTAGAGAATCCCCACAAAAATCAGTTGATCTCTCGGTCACTATAGATTAGTTTGCACTTCCTAGAATCTCATATAAATGGAATCATACAGAGTCCCTGGCTTGTTTCACTGGGTGTATTTGCTTTATTATCCACCCATGTTGTTCAGCTACAGATTGTTTTTTGTTTTTTGATTGCTCAGTAATATTCCATTGCGTGGCTGGACCACCACTGGTCCCTGTTCTTTTTCTTTTTCTTTTTAATATACGTTTTTTCTTGTAGAGATAAGGTCTCACTGTGTTGCCCAGGTTAGTCTCAAATTCCTGGCTCCAGTGATACTCCCACTTTGGCATCCCAAAGTTTTGGAATTACAGGAGTGAGCCACCGCACCCAGACGTTTGTCCCTGTCCTAATCATGATTTCCTTATTTTGACTTTTTAAAAAAGGACTTGAGAATTGTACACGCTGTGATGTGAACTCAGTGGTCAAAAAAATAGGGGAAAAAAATGGGCCAGGAGGGGTGGCTCAGCCTGTAATCTCAGCTCTTTGGGAGGCTGAGGTGAGCAAATCACCTGAGGTCAGGAGTCCGAGACAAGACAACATGGTGAAACCTGGCCAACAGGTGAAACCTGGTCCCTACTAAAAATACAAAAATTAGCCGAGCGTCGTGGGGGGAGCCTGTAATCCCAGCTACTCCGGAGGCTGAGGCAGGAGAATGGCTTGAACCTTGAACCCAGGAGGGGTTGCAGTGAGCCAAGATCGCGCCACTGCATTCCAGCCTGGGCGACAGAGCGAGACTCCTTCTCAAAAGAAAGAAAAAGAAAAAATAAATAAATAAGAAAATAATAGGCCAGGCCTGGTGGTGCACGCCTGTAATCCTAGCTACTCGGCAGGCTGAGACGGGAGAATCACTTGAAACTAGAAGGCGAAGGTTGCAGTGGGCTGAGATCGTGTCACTGCACTCCAGCCTGGGCAAAAGAGACTGTCTCAAAAAATAAAAGAAAGAAAATAATACTGCCGTAGGTCTCTTGAAAACCCTGGGTCCTCCCGGCGGGGACAGTTCAGCCATCAGCGCTCTGGGTGCGAGGCGAGCCTGGCCAGGAGAGCATTCATGGAGCTTGCGGCCTGGGCGTCGCTGTGTGCCCCGTGGGAGCATTTCAAGGCCTCACAATCTATTTGAGATGGGTGTTTTAGGTGTTCCCATTTACTAATGAGGAAACTGAGGCGCGGCGGGGTTACAGGATCAACGAACGTCACACAGCTGGTGACGGCTGCACAGCATCCTATCACTAGGAAAAAGACAGGAAGGCACCACCGTAAACTTCGAGTTGTGTTAATAGATGATTTGCATTTTTCTGAATTTTCTGTATCGGCTGTAAGCCGAAGTCCTTGTTTCCTATTGATATGTAATGGAAAAACAAAAAACAAAAGCCGTGTCCCGGCCGTGGAAGTTAAGCATAACTAACCCTACCAGACCCGACCCGGAAACTCCGCGCGTCGCTCCGCTCGGCCAGGCGGGGGCTCCCAGACCGGAAGTCAGGGCGCGGGGCCGGAAGCCGAGGGGCGACGCGGACCTCTGTGGACGGGTGGCGGTTGTCGGGGCCGTCGAGGCGGCGGCGACTCTGCGCCCCTGGCTCCGGATGGAGACGGGGCCGCATCCCCGGCCGGGGCACTGCTGCAAGCCTGGCGGGCGTCTGGACATGAGCCACGGCTTCGTGCACCATATCCGACGGAACCAGATCGCCCGGTACCGCCCCGCCCTGCGCCGCTTCGCCGCTCTTGGCCTGGCCGGCCCGGCCCGGCCCGACAGCTCCTGACTCCCGCTCGGCTCCCCGCAGGGACGACTACGACAAGAAGGTGAAGCAGGCGGCCAAGGAGAAGGTGAGGAGGCGGCACACGCCCGCGCCGACGAGGCCCCGCAAGCCAGACCTGCAGGTGTACCTGCCGCGACACCGAGGTGAGGCTGCCCGCCCCGCCTACCTCAAGCCCGCGCGCTCTTCCTGCAACGCACTCCCCTTCTCTGTAGGGAAAAACCACTTCTTACTCCTAAGGTTCAGCTCACCTCGTCTCTTCCCGGAACCTCCACCTCAACGCTCCCAAATCTCCGCTGAGTGATTCTCCCCAAGAACTGGGACGACTCATAAGCCCCCAATTAAGCATCACTATCACAGAGAGTATCTGGGAGCCAGCAAGAAGTTTATCTGCCGGTTTGCCCCACCGTGCTGTATTTTAGTAAGGTGCTCCGCTGTCTAGCAAAGAGAAAGTCTGGCACAGCAATGAGCGACCAGCACATAATTGTGGAATGAACCCAGTAAATGGCCTTCCCCCTGCTTCCCCGCGACCTAGATATCACAGTGGTTAACATGACACTCAATGTTTGTTAAGCATTATTACTACTTTTTTAAAAAGTTTTTATTTTATTTTATTTATTTATTTAGCAACGGAGTCTCGCGCTGTCGCCAGGCTGGAGTGCAATGGTGCGATCTCGGCTCACTGCAGCCTCTGCCTCAGCCTCCCGAGTAGCTGGTACTACAGGCGTGTGACACCACGCCCGGTTGATTTTGGTATTTTTTGTAGAGAAGGGGTTTCGCCACGTTGCCCAAGCTGATCCTGAACTCTGAACTCAGGTGATCTGCCCGAATCAGCCTCCCCAAGTGCTGGGATTACAGGTGTGTTGCCACCACGCCCTGCCTTTGTTAGGCATTATTTAAAGTGCTTTTAGATCTTATGTGTATCAATTCGTTGAATCTTCATACAACCTCATAAGTTGAGATGCTTATATCTGTTTCACAGTCAGGAAACAGGCACAGAGAGGTTAAACTTGGCCAAGATCTCAGCTAGTAAATGGCAGAGCCTGGATTTGAACCCAGACACAGCTCTGTCTACCCTTCTACTGCTTTCCAGGACTTTTTGCTAGACAAATGTGCGTTGTGTACCTACTGTGTGATGGGCCTGTGCTCGCCTAAGAACAGGGATGCAAAGTTCTTGATTGGCAGCACACCAAACACTTAGGTTGGGCCAGGCATGGTGGTTCACACCTGCAATCCTAGCAGTTTGGGAGGCCAAGGTGAGCAGATCTCTTGAGGCCAGGAGTTTGAAACTAGCCTGGACAACATGGTGAAACCCCATCTCTACTAAAAATACAAAAACTAGCCAGGCGTGGTGTCGAGTGGCTGTAATCCCAGCTACTCTGGAGGCTGAGGCAGGAGAATCACTTGAACCTGGGAGTTGGAGGTTGCAGTGAGCATATATTGTGCCACTGAACTCCAGCCTGGGTGACAGAGCAAGACTCCGTCTCAAAAAAAAAAAAAAAAAAAAAAAAAAAAAAAAAACCCTTGCACTGAACCCATAAGAAGATTGGGGCTTTCTTAACCGTATATTTTCCTGCATCATCTCTATGGACAGGACCTTTGGTAGCATCCCCCTCTTCTTTCTTACTGTGGTTCATCCTTCCAGATGTCTCTGCCCACCCACGCAACCCAGACTATGAAGAATCCAGTGAAAGCAGCAGTAGTGGAGGCTCCGAGCTGGAGCCTTCTGGCCATCAGCTCTTCTGCTTAGAGTACGAGGCAGACAGTGGAGAGGTCACATCAGTTATCGTGTATCAGGTACGCCTGGTGGAAACAGCCGCAGCCTGAAGGTTCTAGGCCATGGTAGTAATCATTGTCAGACCCTGAGCCCTGTTTTCCTCAGGAACCCCAGTGGGAAGCATCTGCTCCACATGTCAGCCTAGGACTGGCAGGCAGTGCTTTTGAGCACAACTCACTCCCATCTCACAGTGATTCTCAGTAGGGGAACAGGGAGGGTTCTTGGACCCCAGTGGAGAATCACTGTTATAGGGGACGCCTGTGAAATGATAGGTGTTGGCAGAAAGCCCTTAGCTAAATGGAGTTCTGTGAGAATGTTGTCTAGGGAAGGGCAGGTCACCTTTCTGGAAGAGGCCAGGCCCTGAGCCTCCTGACTTCCTCCACATAGGGCGATGACCCAGGAAGGGTGAGTGAGGAGGTGTCATCACGCACGCCTCTGGATCCACCCATGCGAGAAGCCCTCAAGTTGCGTATCCAGGAGGAGATTGCAAAGCGCCAGAGCCGACACTGACCATGTTGAAGACGTTCTCTCCAGGCTGGATTCACTGCACTCGGAAGAATTCTGCCCAGGGAGCTCATACTTAGTTTGGGGGTATCAGGACCAGTTTGTCTGATCTTGAGACCCCCAGAGGTGCTGCATCCATAGGGTGTTGCAGGACTAAACCTCGCCTGCCTTGCAGTCATTCATTCTTATATGCTGACCCATTTGCCCAGCCTGATATTCTGGAATTTTTTTTTTTTGAGAATTTTGTGTGGCTAATGTGGTGTTCTAGAAGCAGAGACTCCAGGGAGAACCAGGATTTATGAAGCCTCATGCCAACATGGTGCTTTCTCAGCAAGGTCATATGCCTGGCTGCTGCCGTTCCACTCAGATGCATGAGCCATGTTTGTTATTTTATGGTTCTGTGCTTTTGCTCATTTCTACCCATGTATTCATAGACCTTTTTATCAGCCCTTTTTCTTTGTTCCTTTCCCTCATCTTTCTGCCTCAGGTAGAATCCATCCATTCTCCTCCCCCTTCAACATGACTGTGTACCTCCAGCTGCTCAGGACTTTGGAGGTGGGGGCGTTCTGGGGATCTACCCTTCTAACAAACTCGCCAAGTAATTCTGATACCAATAAAGTGGGAGACCTCCATTTTTGAGGCCTATTTGCAAGCATGTCTCCCTCCCTTTCCATGGCTTTTTCATTTCTCGCATGTTCCGCTGCTTTGTGCTATCTAGATAGGAGACCTAGGAAGATGTTGGTGCTAAACTGTAAAGATTTCTTACAGCAAAACCTGCCTTGGCCAGGGCTACAGAATTCCAACTTTCAACTTCATTCCTAGCTGTGAACAGACTGTCCTCTGCTCAGACTAAAAGGGAATTATCAAAACAAGTGGGAGCTTACTCTCAAGTTGTGACTTCCAGTTTTGAACATACCTACAAAGGGAAAGTCAGTATTAGCAATAATTGCCTGGTTGACAACATGCCAGAGGGAATGAAATGAGGCCTTCTTTCCTACCTCCAGGAGTATATAACTCAGATCCTTAGTGTAAAGATCCCCAGGAATACCAATGCTCTCACGCGGTGAACATTTTTTTAATGCAGGGTTAGGCTTAGGTCTGAATTCCACAAGACATTCTCCCCCTCCTCCTCTTCGGAAGTTCCAAGGCACTTGTTTTGCAGCATATCAGCCTAACCTCAGTGCCTTGAAATGGGGCTTTAAGTCTTTTGAGAACTGAGATTTCCTGAAACCATAGCCCCTGCCCCAGGGGTTTCTCCACATCAGGATGTCAAGACACTTGATGACCCTGTTGGTTTGTCCTCTGTGCCCCAGAAAATCTATCCTGCAAGACAGCTACTTCAGTTACGTCATTGAAATGTTGCAAGCCACAGCTCGCAATGCCAAAAGAATGCCGGGAGAATAGTAAGTGAGGTGGAGAAGTGGTTGTGAAAGCGGCCACGGACCAGACCCACAAAGCTGGTCCAAGGTTAAGTGCCTTAAATTTGCCAATCCTGTGCTCAGCTCCCCTTTGAAAGGAGAAAGTCTTTGTCCTCTACTTAGGCAGCTGGGCTAGAAGTGCCTTTGGACTTCTAACGTTGACTACCCTCCAAAGCCTCCTAGATCAAGGAGGCTCTGCCAAACTCCACCCCCTGTACTTCCTTGTCAGAGAACCAGTCAGTCATTTTAGTCTTCCAGCTCTTGAACTGATCTTATGACTTGAACTGATCTTAGACCCCATTCTTTTTAAGTAAAGGAAGAGGTAGGGAGGCTGAGCTGGGTGGATCATGAGGTCAGGTGATCAAGACCATCCTGCATCCTGTCTGACAAGGTGAAACCCTGTCTCTACTAAAAATACAAAAAATTAGCCGGGCATGGTGGGACACACCTATAGTCCCAGCTACTCAGGAGGCTGAGGCAGGAGAGTCCCTTGAACCCAGGAGCCAGAGGTTACAGTGAGCTGAGGTCATGCCACTGCACTCCAGCCTGGGCAACAGAGAGAGACTCTCTCAAAAAAAAAAAAAAAAGGAAGAGGTAAAAGGAAGGCAACATTTAATAAGTACCTATTGTATCCTTTTATGTGTTTGTTGTCATAATCCTCACAGAGACCCTCTCAGGTACGGGACTGATGGAAACTCCTTGCTATTAAACTTTTTTCTTGAGGAACTTTGCTTATCAAGTGCATATACACTTAATATTTTCCACTCAAGAGAGCATTCTAAGCTAATTTGTTCAGTGTGACTATATTAAGCACTAAGCTTCCTTAGAGCTGGCCTATCAGAGATGCTACTGCCCTTTCTCCAGGTGTGTCTGAAATGCCTGCCAAAGGATGGCCCTTAGCCAGTTAACAGCCTTATAGCCTATCCTCATTGCTTACTGCCACCTGTCAGCTGGGGGTGCAAGGCAGTACTATCCAGCTTATTCACCAGACCTGCCTGCAGACATCTACTTCTTTCAAAAATTAGTGTTTCCCATCAAGGAGCACGTTCTGGAGCATTTCCCACAGATGTCCCAAAGAACACTGTCCAGGGCTGTGTTGTACAGTGGTAACAGCATTAGACTAAGTGGAACTTCCCAGCAGGCTGCTTTAGAATCCACTCATTTGACTAGATACGATGTAATTGGCTGTCTTTGAAAAAAAAAATCTGATAGGCATATCATGCCCATTCAATATGGAATGTTCTCCAAATTTTTAAGCCTATATTTTAAGGTTTTGTGGTTCCTGGGCCACAATGGGTGATGTTACTGATAGAAGGAAGCTGGATTTGCAAGGTCTTTGGGCTGTGCAAGAGTAAACACTAAAGCTTGAGTTGTATCCAGCTGGCAAGCATGGAAGTCTTTGAAGAATGTAATATAAGAAGGGAAAAGAATGTAAAGCTTTTTGTACCAAATGAGAGTAGGAGCCTCTGGAGCCCAGCCAGCCAGTAGGCCCAATGTGGGCAATAACAAATGCTTTTCCCTGTGTAAAAGTCTCTCTGGAAGGGAAATTCCATCTCCATGGTGCACTCTGAGGGGCACTGTCAACTAGAGATTGGCCCCAGGTAGGTGGGAGGAAGCCCTTTGGGTTGGTGAGTATCCAGCCTGCTGTGCATTTGACAGAATCTCTAAATGGCTAGGTAATGGATCCCCAGCAGGATCACAAATTTAAATGAGGCCTCTGTGTACAGAAAGAGGAATAAGTACAGATGACTTTCCTACCACTAGATTTTTGGGGAGAGTCACCATGGAATGTTGACAATTACTTAAAATATTTTAAGCTCCCTTGCTGAATTCCTTTCCTGTCCCTGAAGAATAAGATGGTCATAAAGCCATAGGCACCCACGCGAAATCTCCCTAGGAGTTGGACTAATGTTAGAATCGAAGACCTGAGTAAAGGGCTTCTCTGCCTTCTCAGAGCCAGGAGAATGAGAGACTGGTTGCACTGGTTGTGTTAAATGTATAAAAAGCTATATGTTCATCAGTTTACTCATTTCCAATGTTTCTGCTATGTAGATGAATAAAATGTAGTGTGCAAATTATTTGAAAATCCCAGAAGGAAGGTACTTTTCAAATACAGTATTCTTTTTTTTAACAAATAAACTTACTTTTTTTTTTATAAACTTACTATTTTTATAGCACTGTTTTTGCCAAAAGTTGTGAAATCACTTGTGTACATGGGGAAGTGGAGGTTAAATATCTGCCCTGAAGTCATTCCACCACCGAATCAGCACTGGAAATCTCATCTCTTGCTTTGCCAGACTATTTTAAGAGCTGTCCCTGTTGGAACATAACAACTAGACAGACTCATGTAGCATTAGAATTGGAAGGCCTTTTTAAAGACATCTGGTCCTACTTATACACAATTCCCCCCTACCAACTACCTATGAAGAGCCCTTCTGTCATACGGAGCTCTATCCTGGGATAATTCTATATTAGGAACTATTAGATTGTCATATTAAGCCCAAAGCTGCCTCATGTCCCAGATCTGGAGTACTATTGCCTTGCCCCTACATCATGTTAGAACTTGAATAGTCCTCTTGGGCCTTCATCTTGATTGGATGGGGACTAAAACCTGGCTCAAGAAGATATAGTATTAAGTATTACAAAACTTTCAGTTAGGGTTCACAGCCCCACTGGGCAGATAAGAAGGTGCCTACTCAAGGCCAGGAGTGGTGGCTCGTGCACCTGTAATTCCAACACTTTGGGAGGCCAAGGCAGGCATATCACCTGAGGTCCTGAGTTAAGACTAGCTTCTGGACCGGGCGCTGTGGCTCAGTTCTGTAATCCCAGCACTTAGGGAGGCTGAGGCAGGTGGATCACCTGAAGTCAAGAGTTCAAGACCAGCCTGACCAACATGGAGAAACCCCGCCTCTACTAAAAATACAAAATTAGCCAGGGTGTGGTGACGCATGCCTGTAATCACAACTACTTGGGAAGCTGAGGCAGAAGAATCACTTGAACCCAGGAGGCGGAGGTTGTGATGAGCCAAGATGGCACTACTGTACTCCAACCTGGGCAACAAGAGTGAAACTCTGTCTCCAAAAAAAAAAACAAAAAGGGGGAGGCCAGGCGCAGTGGCTCAAGCCTGTAATCCCAGCACTTTGGGAGGCCAAGGCGGGTGGATCACGAGGTCAAGAGATCGAGACCATCCTGGTCAACATGGTGAAACCCCGTCTCTACTAAAAATACAAAAAATTAGCTGGGCATGGTGGCACATGCCTGTAATCCCAGCTACTCAGGAGGCTGAGGCAGGAGAATTGCCTGAACCCAGGAGGCGGAGGTTGCGGTGAGCCGAGATTGCGCCATTGCACTCCAGCCTGGGTAACAAAAGCAAAACTCTGTCTCTAAATAAATAAATAAATAAATAAATCGGTCTGGCCAGCATGGTGAAACCCCATCTCTACTAAAAATACAAAAAATTAGCCGGGCATAGTGTCGTGTGCCTGTAATCCTAGCTACTTGGGAGGCCAAGGCAGGAGAATCCCTTGAACCGGAGGCGGAGGTTGCAGTGAACCAAGATTGTACCACTGCACTTCAGCTGGGCAACAGAGCAAGACTCTGTCTCAAAAAAAAAAATAAATAAAAAAGGTGCCTCCCCAAGGAAATACAGTTGGGCAGGAAGATGGTTCCTGTCAATTAGCAAGAAGCACACATTTGTCCTGAGGCACAAAGCATAGCCAGCGGCAGGTGGGCTGGATTTTATCCCCTGCTGGTTCATTCACCCAGGTGTGCTTGTAGAGTGATCACTACACAGCCATTCTTCTTGGCCCTGTTTTAACCACTTGTCCTGATGTGATTACGAAAAGGGGTCTTCCGGCCAGGCGCAATGGTTCACACCTGTAATCCCAGCACTTTGAGAGGCCAAGGTGGCAGATCACCTGACATCAGGGGTTCGAGACCAGCCTGGCCAACATGGTGAAAACCCATCTCTACTAAAAATACAAAATATTAGCCAGGCGTGTAATTCCAGCTACTCGGGAGGCTGAGGCACAAGAATCACTTGAACCCAGGAGGCAGAGGTAGCAGTGAGCCAAGAGGGCGCCATTGCACTCCAGCCTGGGCAACAAAAGCAAAACTCTTGTCTCAGAAGGAGAAGAAAAGGGCTCACCAACAGGTTTTCTGCTTCCATTTCTCCTTTCCACTGGGTCCAAGAAGGTTTCTCCCTCTTCAAGTCATTGTGCAGTCTATTCCGCTCTATCTTCAAGTCATTGTGCGGTTTACTCTCTATTCTCATTATGTTCTACTTCTTCAAAGCACAGGGCCTTGTTGTTGCACATAACCTTTGCCTCACCAATGTTACTACTTCAGCTCCCCACACTTGGCAGCCTGCGCCCATGCACCATTCAGGTGATCTGCCCAAGTGTCATCACACAAGGGCTCCAAGAGATCCTGGGACCACCTTCGAGACAGAGTGCCAGGCACACTTCTGATACGTGAAAGTATTTCCACCCTTCAAATCATTTAAGAAACATCCAGGAGTGCACTCGTTGCATGTTAAGTTTTTGGTGAAGCTGGTCAGTATTTCCCCTCACTATCCTGTTCCCTTTTCCCAGATTCCTCCAGGTTTCTTACCTTCCCCTCTGCTTATCAACGCTGGTCAAGTTAATCCTTACCTACTCTACACTGACACCTACATGTGTCTACTTAGAATGGATGTCCTCTGTTCTCTGCCGCCTTATTTCAAATAAATGTTGACCAGTCGGGAAACACGTCTCGGACATTGATTTCTAGCTAGTACACTGTGTACTTGTACGCAGGAAAGCAAAAAGTATCTGATGAAAGCGGCCCTCCTCCGGAGTTTGCTGAGCCACAGGAAGCATAAGCGCTTGCATTTCTTAAGAAACAGCCAAGGGTTTGTGTCTGCTTCTCTGGATCCACCGCAGCCCCAGCCAGAGGCAGGCATGGGGCGACACGTTGAGAGAGCGTCCTAGAGGACTCACCGTTAGCCGTTGCAGGCTGCAAAATGTGCGCGGTGGCGGAGGGAGGCTCCTCCAGCCACGTGCACGGCGACAATCGCAGGAAGAGCTGGAATGAGGGCTGCCCCGAGGTCCCCACCTGCCGGCGCTTCTCCAGCGGGAACAGGGTAAACGGAACCCATAGGCATCTCTGTTTTAGAGCGGTCTTCAGGCCACAGCCCTCCGCGCCCAGGTCCTCCGAAGTTGGGACGCCTCCCACGTTTCCCCCGTGACGCGGGCGCGGGGGCTCGGGAGTTGTAGTCTCCGGCAGGGCGCGGGCGCTGGGGCCGGGGCTGCGTGGACTCCACGTCCCGGCGGGCGGCGCGGCGAGGCCTGGGGCCGCCAGGGGCGGGGCCGCTCGGCCCTTTAAACCTTTCAGGGCTGCTCCGAGGGCCGCAGCTGGAGTCGGCGCCACGAGGGGGCCGAGCAGGGCGCGGCGGCGGCTGGGCGCTCCCGGGAGGTGCGTACTGGGCTCCTTCCTTTCCTCCGGGCTTCCAGGAATCACCTGGGGAGTCTGGCGTCCCGGGTCCCCGGGGGTCACCGGCCGCAGGCTCCGGCCCCAGCCAGGGTCCCCGCGCCCAGGAGAGCGGGTGCCGGGCCAGGATTCCCGCGTGAACCCGCCTCTCGCCCAGGGCGCCGATGGTCAGGTGGTTTTGCCTGCGCTCCGCCGCCTCGCCACCGCTCCACTGGGCCCGCACCCAGCCTCTCCTTGGCGTGGCCTCATCGGTTGTCCAGCCCTTCTCCCAGCCCTCGTCCCTCAGAAGGAGGGTAACTCCCTTCCAGATGTTACGATTCGCTTACCTCTCTCAGCACGCCGGTGGCATTTGGTTTGACCGCAGAGGCCCCCAATGCCAGTGGGTGTCTACGTTCTGGCATGGGGTCAGCCCAAACTTTGGACGCTCTGAGACCCAACAGGGGCTCCGGATAAGGTGTTGACCTCCTTTACCCTCCCCCTTCCTGGCCAGTCACCCACAACTGGACTTTGATCTGCCTCTCTCCACCAGGCCAGGGCAGCTGATGGTTGTGGCAGAAACATCTCAAGGTAGCTGGTCCGCCCCCACTTCCCCATCTACCTCTTGTCCTCCCCCCCACACCACCACCACCCTGGCTCCCCTCCCTCATGACCGCCTGGATCCTCCTGCCTGTCAGCCTGTCAGCATTCTCCATCACTGGCATATGGACTGTGTGAGTAAATCGGGGTGCGGGGATTGGGGGGGACAACAGGAGCTCGTCACACACAAAGTCCCTTGTCCTGTTGTAGGCTCTAGGGTGGTACCCAGGGTCACTCTGGCTTTCTCCAAAGCCTGGCCTGGTGCCTGGGCACACAGCCCCTTGGGACAAGCTGGCACCACTGCTGTCCACCAGGATGGCCCTGACAAATATACTTCTGGCCAGGGTAACTTCCAGAGGGCCTCTAGCTGGGGGCCATGCTGCAGATGCTGGTGTGGCATCAAGCCTCATGGCCCCCATCTTGAGTCCCTAGCAACAATGAGGCTGAATAGGGCCTATAAATCAAGGTGGAAGAAAAGGGTTTGGGGGCGGGTTAAGGGGGGGCTTGGGAAGGCTGAACCAGGAGAGGCATGAGGGCAGCATGACAGTTCTGTTCCCACAGGTATGCCATGGCTGTGATGAACCACCATGTATGCCCCGTGGAGAACTGGTATGAAGCACAGCAGACAACCTCACTCTAAAGGCTCCTTCATCTCTGTCCCCTCTTGGGCCCAGCCAGACTGCTGAGCCTCACTGCTCTTCTCTGAAATTGGTCCCTTGTATGGCTTCATGACACCTACCCACTTCCCACCATCCTTTTGTGCCTTTGGCTACTGCTTCAGGCAGGCCCTGGGGAGTGGGATCTTTCGTCCCTGCAGGGGAAGTCTGGGAGAGAGTCCCCTATGAGGTCTGAGGCTATAGACCAAGGGCCTAGGGGCAGTCCCTTCCCCCAGTCTACTCCCTGTCCCACCTGCCAGGTCCTACAACGAGTCCTGCTCTCCTGACCCTGCTGAGCAAGGGGGCCCCAAGACCTGCTGCACCCTGGACGATGTCCCCCTCATCAGGTAAGGCCTGGACATTGGGCAGGTGAGGGACACTGGGCAGGTCAGGAAGATCTAAGGTCCTCCGAGACAGCCCCTCAAGCAAAGAGCTGTCCTTGGGTCTCAGTAATAATAAATATCCTAAGGGCCACTTAATAACAATACTACTTGGCAGTTACTGTGGGGCGGGCACTCTGCCGAGCGCTTTATATGCATTGTCTCTTTTAATCCTCCCGGTAGGAGGCAGCTGTTGTCTGACCATTTTATAGGTGAGGAAACAGGCTCAGTATTACTCATGCAGATCACACAGATATTAAGTGGAGGCACCCAGATTTAAGCTCAAGCCCTCGGATTGCCCAGCCCGTGTTCTAGCTCAAGGATAGCCAGACCAGCTGCAGAGCTCAGCAGAGTGTCAGGGTTGCCTGAACACTCCTGGGCACTCCCTTCTCTCTGACACACATGAGCTCTCCTTTGGCGGCTCAGCCTGAAACCAGTTGTTCATGAGGGACCCTGGCTTTTCACATAAATCAGTGGCCTACCTGCTAAGGAGCAGGTGCAGGTAAAGCAGGGGAGAGCCAGTGAGCCAGAATGGGGGCCCCCTGGGCCTCCTGCCCCCTCTTACTCTGTCCTTCCCCCTCCTCGCAGCAAGTGTGGCTCCTATCCCCCAGAAAGCTGCCTCTTCAGCCTCATTGGCAACATGGGTGCTTTCATGGGTGAGTTGTACCCTTAGCCCTGACCCTGCCTGCCCAGCCCAGTGCCTCCCATGCAGAAAGGCCCAGGAAGCCCTTTTTGCAGCCCTCCCCACCAAGGGCTAAGGCAATAGAGGCAACTTCTCTCCCCTTCCTTGAAGGTCAAAGGCTGACTCCCACACAGCCACCCTGCTGGCTGGAGCCTGAGGAAACCTAGTTCACCACGCGCCTGTCCATTCCCTTTCTGCCTCTCAGATGGGGCAGGAGCACCAGAGCGGTGGGGAGTGGGAAGCTGAGAGGCTCAATGGGCGGGGCCAGGGCTGGAGGAACGCCCCAACCTTGCTCTCCTCCCCCAGTGGCCCTGATCTGCCTCTTGCGCTACGGGCAGCTCCTGGAGCAGAGTCGGCACTCTTGGGTTAACACCACGGCGCTCATCACTGGCTGCACCAACGCCGCAGGCCTCTTGGTGGTCGGCAATTTTCAGGTGCTTCCCCTTCTCCCCTGCAAACCTTGAACTTTACCTACCAAGGCCTGGCTGCCTACAGGGGGTGGCACCTCAAGGTTGGGGCTGGAAGGAGAAAATGAGAAAGGAAGAGGGAGAGAGAAGATCCATTGAAGGAGGGGTGGAGGGGTTTGTCTGCAGCCACATCACTGATTGACCATTCTTTGAGCCCAGGTGGATCATGCCAGGTCTCTGCACTACATTGGAGCTGGTGTGGCCTTCCCTGCGGGGCTGCTCTTTGTCTGCCTGCACTGTGTTCTCTCCTACCAAGGGGCCACGGCCCCCCTGGACCTGGCTGTGGCCTATCTTCGAAGTGTGCTGGCTGTCATCGCCTTCATCACCCTGGTCCTCAGTATCCTTCTATGATGGGGCAGCTGGGAACTCATCCTCTAGCTCATCCTTTCTCCCTCCCAAGAGGATGAGGGCGTGGAGGCCTAATTGCCATGTGGTCTGCTCCCTTTGGGGAGGTGAGGCCTGGGACTGCAGAAAGGTTGTTGCCAGGTTTCCATATGTCCTACTGAACATTTCCTTAGCCCCATTTCAGGTGGAGTCTTCTTTGTCCATGAGAGTTCTCAGCTGCAACATGGGGCAGCCCTGTGTGAGTGGGTGTGTGTCATCGATATCCTCATTTTCTATGGCACCTTCAGCTACGAGTTTGGGGCAGTCTCCTCAGACACATTGGTGGCTGCACTGCAACCTACCCCTGGCCGGGCCTGCAAGTCCTCCGGGAGCAGCAGCACCTCCACCCACCTCAACTGTGCCCCTGAGAGCATCGCTATGATCTAAGGTCTGGGGAGGGTGGCTGGCCCGGCCTCCGCAGCACCCCACCCTATATCTTCTTTGCATTTATTTTGTACCAAAAACAATTTTGAGAAACTATTCTGTTGGGATCTGGGCTTCCTCACTTCTGGAGAAATGGCCATCCCACATCCACCTGTGCCATAGAGGAGTGGGCCCTGCCAGCTGCCACAGCTGCATGACCTGCTTCCCCACCCCATGGTGTCGTTTTGTTTTTAAAGGTCACCTGTCCTCACTCACCCAGCCAGCCCTTCAGGTGCCTTCTACTCCCAGTGCCAGAGCCAGACCACTGGGGTTTCCTGCTGCAGGAATTGGGGGCTGGGAACAGCAGTGGGGATAGAAGTCTGGTGGAGGTGGAGTGGGTACGCCTTAGCCTACGGAAAGGCCCATTTCTGGGCCCATTGAGCTGCACTGGGATTCTTCACTCTGTCCCTCACTTCCTTTAGGGCAAATAACACAGCAGAACCACGTGGGTATTTTAGTACTTTTTTTTATATTAAAAGAATTCTAATTTGCATGTTTGTAGTCTGTTCTGGAGAGTCGGGAAAGGGGGGACCTGATCTGGGATGGCTTTCCATAAGCCAAGGATGGGAGAAAGGCCTTGCCCTCCGGGAGAGTGCTGAGCACACTTTGCTGCCAGAAACAAAGGATGGCAGGTACCATTCAAATACTTGTTGAAGGGCTTGAAACCCTTCTGGGCCTCTAAACAATCTAAAGAACTGACTTGATCTAATAATCTCACCCATCCCCCACTCAGAGCCTGGTTTGAACTTTGATTCCTTAGTAAGAGGCATGGGGTGGCAGGGGGGGGATAGTACAGAGAGCGACTTTAAAATACGAAAAGCAGCTTTCTCAATGGAGAAAAAGAAAACCTCTGGGATTCCAAAGTTAACTAGAAATTGCAGTGGGAGGAGGCTGCAGGCTAGTTTATCAGCTTTAAGTAATTAACTGGGTGCCAGACCCTAACACATTTTGCCTTCTAACCATGAACACACAGGCCCAAGCCCTGGCTGGCGCAGTAATCCACTGCCATGAGTCTAGATGGGCCAGCGGGGAGGGAAACCACAGCCTGCTTCTGCGGTTTAGGACCACTTTTCCCCAATAGCAGTAGAGACCTGAAGGAGGATGCAGAGCTCCTGACCAGGTCTGTGATCAATACAGCCTCAGGGTGAGTACAGAAACCTTTAATGAGGATTCAAGGTTTGTAAGGAAGACACAGAGGGCCGGCGCTCAGCCCCAGCCTCCTCACGTGTACATGGCTCCGTGGAGGCTCTCCAGTCGGTGCTGCTGCTGCTGTTTTCGAGCCTGAAGGAAAGAGGGTACACTGGGCAGGAGCCAAAACTGAAGGCCTGTGGGTGAGGGCATGGACAACTATCACGGGGCTGGCTCTGTTTTCAGGCCTCTGGCATCTGCATTGCTGAGGCTCTCACCACAAACCAAAGTCACTAAGAAGCCAGCCAGAGCCAGGGACTCTGAGGCCTGGTCCAGTCCTGCTGAGGTGGAAAGAGACGGCAGCACGGACAGGACTGAGGGAGCCTCTTACGACCCCTCCACTTAACCATCAGCCCCTACCTTATCTCGTCTGTGCTCCTCATAGGTGTCATCATCAGTGGGCAGCTCGTGGCGGCACAAGGGACAGGAATTTGTCTGAGAAAAGTAGAGCAGTGTCTAGCCTTGGTCTGATCTTCATAAGCTGACAACCACCCTCCCCTGCTCCCAAGTGCCTCCCTTTGATCCCCCAACAGTCCAGGAACAGAAAGAAACTTGAGTACTGGGCCCAGAGCAGAGTGAGAGCTGGAAGAAGAGAGGCAGTACCTTGCTTAGCCAGGGCAGAATGCAGCTGGAATGGAAAAGGTGATGGCAAGGCATCTCAATGGCAGTCTCCTCCTCCTCAAATTCCAAAAGACACACGGGACACTTGAGCTCTTTAGGAAGGAGTGCTGATCAGGAGAGATGCTACAGTCCCTGCCTCCCGAGCTCCCACTCCTGAAGGACACTTGCCCCACCTGGCCTGGAAAACTTAAGGACCAGACCACAGTCTGACTTGGGGAAGGGGTGGGTCTGGCCCAAATAGCAGAAAATACTATGTGTCCTCACCAGCCTGAGAGCCTCTGATGACCGTCCTGGGGAGGTTCTCAACCACAGTCTTGGCAGCTGGTGGAGGCAGGTGGTGGTCCCAATCTACTACCAACCCTAAGTCTTCAAAGTCCATCCTATTGAAAAGTGACCTGGGGAAGAAGATATAAAGTAAGAACAAAGGAAAACTATGCTTTCTCTTTGCCCCCATAATCCGCTGGACAGTAACCGATAAACACCCTGCCCAGCTAGTAGGAATAATAGCTACCGCTAGTAGTTAGTAGATACTCACTAGATAAAAAGCACGATGGGAAATAGTTTACAGCTGCTATCAGACTGCCGCAGCACGTAACGTTTTTATTCCCATTTTACACATGAGGCAACAGGCTCAGAGAAGTTACTCAGGCCACGCAGAATAAGCCTGTGGAGTCAGATTCCAAGCCGGCAGTGCCTGCTGTTCCTGATGAATATACCCACTCACAGCAAACGGCCCCAACCCTGCCCCCATGCCTCACCTTCTCCGGGACCTCCCAGAGCCTGCTGTCCTTCCACCCCCAAGTCTACCACTCTCCAGCTCGTCTTTTCCTTAATTCCCTTGCCCAGGCCCGCCCAACGGACGGTCCAAATTATCGAGATGCTCATTCCCACACCCCTCAATCTCACCGCCCGGACTAACACTGCAGATTACTCATCCGTCCTCCCCAGAATCAGCTGCCCCTGGTAATCCGCCGTCTTCAGCCAGCGCCAGCCCAGAAACCTGCTGGCTGGACCCCATCCCCAAGCCCCGCGCACCCACCTTGCGAGCTCCAGCAGCATGTTGGTTCGAGTCTGCTGCTCGGGGTCTAAAGGCTCGCAGTCGTGCTCGTCGAAATACGACGCCATGGCTGCCCAGCCGTCTGACACAGCTCTGGGACCCGGCTCGATCGCGGCCTAGCGGCGCTGGCCAATAAACTGACAAGCTAAGAGAGGCTGGCCAATCAGAGTATCCGAGGGACGGGCATAGTGGCTCCTTAACGCGCACGGAAAGCGGAAGTACTAATTCAGCCGCTTCTCATTGGCCCAAATAGGTCACGTGAACAGAGACTAACGCCAATGACAGAGATCCGGGTTAGTGAGGAAACATTTGTTTTGGAATTGAATTCCCGGGAATTTCCGGCGTGGTCGCATCCGTCTGGTCTGTGAGGGTCGTCAGTGTGCCCTGAGGCTCAGAAGGCTTTGACACTGCAGATGCTAGAGACCTCTCAGAGAGAAGGCAGCGCTGGCCCAGGGGTTCAGGGTTCCTGCGGGCGTTGGGCCAGGGCACTTTTCGATGCGCTGTCCCGGTCCCCACTGGACGATTCTGCCCCGCGGCGCTCTCTTTGGTTCAGGAGTTTGCGTTTCATTCCTCCCCAACCCCCACAAAAAAAATTCCTGGGCATTTCTTATGTGTTAGGCGTAATAGTAAAGGGTGGGGCAAGCCTCCCCAACCGAGAGAGAGAGGCCCCTCTGCCGGGGAGCTGGGGCCTCAACCAGCTCATGGGACTGTTAACTTCAGCCTGTTGCTGTCCCTAGCTTCTATAAAACTGGTGGCTGTACTAACATCTTTTCATTCCTGCCTACACATGAATCCCCTGAGGAAAGAATGGGCACGGAGGATACCTTCAAAGATTCCGATTTAACTGATCTGTGGTGGGGCCTGGGCAACGACATTTGTATAAATTCTACAGGTGAAGCGGGTTTAAGAACCACTGCACTGAACGATTTGGATGATAGGTACTATTTAGCATCTAGAACTGTTAGACTGATGAATGTTTTGCACACCGATCATCCCCTCAGTAGTCCCAGGAGCTAAGCATCATTATGCCTTTTTTACCTCACAAGTGGCTTGCCCAAATTTGCAGCCTTTAAGTGGTGCTGCAGACCAACTGCAGGGCCAAGTGCTTTCCTCCATCTTTCCCAAGAGAGGTGACTCACACCTGTAATCCCAGCACTTTGGGAGGCCAAGGCGGGCGGATCATGAGGTCAGGATTTCGAGACCAGCCTAGCCAACACAGTGAAACCCGGTCTCTACTAAAAATACCAAAAAAGAAAAGAAAAGAAAAGCCGGGTGTGGTGGCGGCGCCTGTAATCCCAGATCCTGGAGAGGCTGAGGCAGGAGAATCACTTGAACCTGGGAGGCAGAGGTTGCAGTGAGCCAAGATCGCACCATTGCGCTCCAGCCTGGGAGACGGAGGGAGACTCCGTCTCAAAAAAGGAAAAAGGAAAAGGAAAAAAAAAAAGAAAGATGGTAATGAGCTCAGTCAAACTAACTCGCGCTCTGTAATGGGTAACGCTCCACACAACTCACACTTATTCTGGTTTCTGTCAGTAGCCCTCACGCTACCCAGCAAGGAACTGCTTATTTTACACACTGGACCCTGAATTCCCCTTGCCACTCACGCTTGAGTTAGAGCTGCATTTAAGTAGCCCAGGCAGAGACTTCCCTGTTTCCACAGTGTTGGTGTGCTTTCTTTCCTTCTTCCATGCCTTTGCTCAGTGATCTTTGCTGTGGCCCTAAAGGCACTGCCTGCCTGGCCCTGAATGGCCCTGTAGCTTTGAAAAGCCTGAATTCAGGCTGGACATGTGGCTCATGCCTGTAATCCCAGTACTAAAGGCAGGAGAACTGCTTGAGCTAGGAGTTCGAGACCAGCCTGGACGACTTAAAGAGACTCCCTCAAAAGAGGAAGGGAGGAAAAGAGGGAGGGAAGGAGAGAGGGAGATGGGAATATCAAGAAGTGCTTTAAGATCCCCATCTCTTGGTGTCACTTCCCCATCTGTAATCTAATGTAAAGCGTGAGGTAGAATGTGGAAAGAGATATTGAGGAGTGGGAAGTGTTCAAATGGGGAAACCATTTATCTGAAGGTGAAAGCCATATGAGAAAATTTTGGGGCCGGGTGCGGTGGCTCACACCTGTAACCCTAGCACTTTGGGAGCCTGAGGCAGGTGGGTTACCTGAGGTCAAGAGTTCAAGACCAGCTTGCCCAACATTGTGAAACCTTGTCTCTACTAAAAATACAAAAATTAGCCGGGCGTGGTAGTGGTTACTGGTAATCCCAGCTACTCAGGAAGCTGAAGCAGGAGAATTGCTTGAACCCAGGAGGTGGAGGTTGCAGTGAGCCAAGATCATGCCATTGCACTCCAGCTTGGGGAACAGAGCAAAAATTCTGTCTCAAAAAACAAAATTTTTATTTTTATTTTATTTTTATTTTATAGAGACAAGGTTTTACCATGTTGGCCAGGTTGGTCTCAAACTCCTTACCTCAGGTGATCCACCCAAAGTGCTGGGATTACAGACATGAGCCACCACACCCAGTCACACAAAAAAATTTTTTAAGTGCCTTCTTCTTTGTCATCCCAACTACAGTCTCATTGGTCCTCTAAGCATCCCCAAGATGACAGAAACATAATGGATTTCATTCTCAGAGAAACAGGCTCTGAGATAGGGAGGACTGGTTCCAGGGTCTGGTTTGAGGGGCATTGTGTTCTTGCACCCACACTCCCTGTCTGTGTAGGGTTGGATCAAGTAGGGAAAGGAGAGGAAGGAGCCCCCTCCCAGGGGTGGAGTTCTTTGGGTGATGGGCTTTCTAAGCAGCCCTAGGGGTCTCTACCCTAGGACATGGGACTAACCAACTTGGGGACCTTCACACACATATACCAGCTTTTAATCAAACAGCAGCTTTTACTAAGCTCCAGGTAGGGCTGGCCCGGCATGGCCTGTACAGCAGGTTGCCCTGGAGGGCTGGTCTGTGGCGTGACAGGAAATGCAGGGGTGCACATGTTGGGGCTGCCCTTTGGCACTCACTGGGGTGGGTCAGGGGAGAGCAAACATCAAGGTTCTCTGGAGACCAGAACAAGCCAGTGCAGCCATTTGGCTTCTCCCTCAGGACCAGCTGGGTCAGTCCCCAGGCCCTGAGGCAGTGCCTGCATCCTGGGTCCGTGAGGCACTACTGCTGTCACTGCTGTGCGGGAGAAAGACCGCCAACAGCACAATCAGGATGATGAGCAGGCCACCGCCCACTAGCCCCAAGAAGATCCGGAAACGGATGTTCTCCCAGCGCTTCTTCTGGGCCAGGGTCTTTGTAGTCTTGCTGAAGGCTGAGCTCTGCAGACACCCCCAGACACAGAGTGGGAATTAGCTGGCACCCCCTTGGCCTGGAAGCCAGCTCCTCCCAACCCCATCTCAGTAAGGCTTAGTCTCCTCCTGCATCCTCCCCATCTTGTCTGCTCCCTTTCTATACCAGCAGAACCCTCCCAGCCTGTCCTCATCGCAAACAAAAGTGTGACCCTGGACTTTCAGCCGTAGCGGCTCACCCTCAGTTAACCATGCCAGTCCTCAGGCTGGGCACAGTGGCTCATGCCTGTAATCCTAGCACTTTCGGAGGCTGAGGTGGGAGGACTGCTTGTGGTCAAGGAGTTCAAGACCCACCTGGGCAACACAGTGAGACCTCATCTCTATAAAAAATCAAAAATTAGCCAGGCATGGTGGTTCACGCTTGCAGTCTCAGCTCCTCAGGAGGCTGAGGCAGGAGGATCACCTGAACCTCGGAGGTAGAGGCTGCAGCAAATTGTGATCATGCCACCGTACTAGCCTGGGCAACAGAGTGAGCCCCTGTCTCAAAGAAAAAAGGAAAACAAAAACAATGCCAGTCTTCTACCTTTAGGAAGGTCCATAGCTTCAAACCAAGGCCTTCTTATTTTCTGGGGTCTACCTGTTGCATATCTAGGCTATGGGTGCTTGAGGAAACCCAGAGGCCCCACACTGGCCCCCAAGAAGGCCTCAACCCCACCAAGGACCTGTAGGTCCTGAATACAGCCCGAGAGCCTTTGCCAAGCCTCTCCCCGCCCCTCCATGCTCCCCCAGGCCTCACACCATATCCAGGAGTTGGTCTGAACGCTGCTCCAGTTCGGCCAGCTTCCCATCACGCTCCAGGACCTTGTCGAAGTTGTTAAGCATGATTTCCGTCACCTCGTTCGCCTGCCGCTGGCACCGTTCCAACTCTTTCCCTGCCTGGGCACCAAGCCTGAGGTCAGGGTTGTATGAGGCCCCCACCTGTCCTTCATCTGGCCCTGAGATCTAGAAGCCTCCTTCTCCCTCTGTAGGTGGGCACAGCATGAGAGTAACAGCATCCTTCGTGTAAGGGTATGTATGATGTGTTCGGAGTGAAGGGCAGCACACCTTTGGTCTCACAAGCTCCTCCCCTTGCACATCAAGGCAGGGCCTAGGACCTAGGTCAGTCCTGGCTTCTAGCACCTCAACTTCCTCTAAGCTGTCCCAAGGTAGGATCTTCCCAGGACCCCATCCTCCCACAAAGCAGATTCTTTTCTCACCTGCTCCAGAATGGCCTCTACCCAATCAATGCACACCTGCCCTAAGGTTTCCCACTGGCCTAAGAAGGCAGCAAAGAATGAGTAACCAAGCTAATTGGCTCGACACACAGGGAGGAGACCCACCCTCCAGGGCTAGAAAGGTAATTTTGAAGTAGCACACATCATAGTCTCTGCCTAACCCCTCTATCCCAAACTGAGAAACTCAGATCTCCCTCCTTGGGCCTCTGACTGGTCAGCCCAGTTCTGCCTCTTCCCCTGATCCTGCTCCCTAGATCACTGCCACAAGTTCCCTCTCTGCCTGGGAACCTCAGTGGTACCGGCCTCTGGCCTCCAGCCTTCTGGTCAGCCGAGATCCTCACTGGGGTCCAACTCACAGAGATGAGACCAACCCTTGGATTTCCCAGCCTGGGCAGCAGCCTTGCCTAACAGAAAACACCAGCTCATTTCAGAGGACTGGGAAGGGATGTGTTGGATCCAAGCTGGGGGAGGTTGAAAGGACAGAGAAAAGAGAAAGTCCAGGTCACGTGCAAGAAAGGCATTGGGCTTTGGGTGCATGTAACAGAGAGACGCCCCAGGCATGAGGCCCTGGTATAAGCTGGAAGCCTAGGAGCAGGTCCAGGGACATTTCAGGGAAATGAATACCAGAGGATTAGCAAACCACAGAAACTCCTTCCTCTCAGCCTAGTTCCCCACAGCCCATCCCTGTTCCCTTCCCCTCCTCACAAGAAGGCCAAGCTTCTTTTCCTGCCAGCCCATGTCACCCATTGTCTACAACAGACATTTTGGCACTTGAATGAATTCCACTTAAAACCAGAAAACTTAAAAAGTATTAGAAGAGATCTGGTGGTCACAGAGGGCCACCGCCTCGCACTCAGGCAAGAATCCTCCTTCAGGATCCTTGCAGCTGCTTGGCACACAGCCTCCAAGAATTCCCAGTGTATGAGTCTTATCTCCCCAGCTGGACCACAAACTCCCAGAGCAGGGGCAAGGAGCAGTGCCCTGCCTCTGTCCACCACCACCCCACCGGGAGGCCAGCACAGTGCTGACCATTGCAAGCAAGGACTCAGTGAGTGGGCTAATTACATTACAGCCTAACCAAAAGCAACTCTTATTCTCAAGAGATGTTCTCTCAGCATGTTTTTCTAGCCCAGCATGAGTTTCGAGGAGC